GGGGGGGGGGGAATTTTGGGGAGTGGAGGTCCGCACATCTTAAAAGTTGAGAAGGTTGAGAAACGCCACCTTAAAACGCTGCCTTTCTTTGCAGGTGGAGTACCAGTTTCTCTCCCCATATGTCTCCCCAAAGGATACTCCCTTCCGGCATATCTTCTTGGGCTCCGGCTCTCACACCGTCCAGGCATTGCTAGAACACGTCAGTCTTCTGAAGAGTGATCCAAGTGCTTTTGATGAAGTCCTGTTCAGGAATCAGCTTGCTCTGTTGACTTGGACCATCCAGGGAGCTGCAAATGCCCTCGCTGGTGACATCTGGAACATAGATAACGAATTCTGAAAAGGCTAATCCCTAACTTGAAGTACAGCAACAGATCCCCTCTTCCCCCGACCAGTAGCACAGAACACCTTCCCCTTAGCTTTTCAGCAGATTTTTTAGAGGCCCAGAATTAAATGAGTAATTCAAAGTGTCCTGGGACAGATTTAGGTGCAGATAGATTTCCCTGTCAAATGTGCTATCCTCCCTTAGCAGTCCGTAGGGGTTCTGTTTTTTTAGTAAGTGAATCCTTGCCTCCAACTGGACAGAGCGCCGAAGCAGCCCACATTCTGACTGGCATTAAGCTCCCGAGAGGCAAAAGGCATAAATTGGTATTGCCTGACTGCATGGGAAGGCAGAAGTGGAGTTCCGATCTCCCACACATTAAAAAAGCCTTTTCACCAACCCGAGTCCCTTCAGCCCTGGAACGTGGAACCTTCTGCCTTCTGTCCAGTTCCCCTGTGGCTGCTTACTCAGGAAGGCCGAGCCCCAGAAATATCGTGAACGGGACCATGACAGGTCCAGTGGCACGACTTAGAAATTAACAATGGAAGCTCTTTCGGGCAGAGCCATGTTGTTTTGTCCCCTTGCTCTGAGGCCTATCAGGAAATGTGGAGTCTCTCTGCCGGTCTCACTGGGAGGGTGAGTTCACCTGGACTTGGTACTGAGGTATTTATTAGTTATTTATTTATCAGTGACAGTGTTCACTATAAATGCTATTTGTGTTCTACCGAATATAATTATCGGAAGCAGTGACTTCCATAATTATGACAGTTATACTGTCGTTTTTGATATAAATATAAAAGCAGCATCTGCTAACCATGATTACTGGAGTTTTTGCCCTCAAGCCTTGAATGGCCTGCAGGAGCAGCAGTGAACACCTGGAAAATGGTCTAGAAAGGGAAGGCGGATTTCCCTCCGCTGGAGTGTAGAGTTCACCTTGGGGGTCTGCAATCTTTGTCCCTCGGTAGTGCGCTGTGGGAGGAGGAAGAAGCCCTCTCAACCTGGCATCCTCCAGATGTGCTGGACTGAGCCCCAGGATTTGAACAACTGTGTCAGCTGTAAATTCTGGGAACTGGCATGCCTGGAGGATGCCTGTTTCATGCCCACAGAGGCCCTTGTTGGCTCTGGTCCCTCCGAAGAAGAGTGGCTTAGCTTGACAGACTCTGTGGGATCTTGTCCGGTTTCCCTAGAGATCTGCCTTTCCAGATCAAGAGAAACGGGAGAAGTTGCCAGCGACAGCAGCCCCACTGTGTGGGCTTCGAATCAGCCCCTGCCTTTCCAGGCTAGAGCTAAAGTGAGGGAGGTCGCTGCAGGCTCATATTCAGCTGGGCTTGCATCGAAATGGCAGCTATTGCAGAAAACCTCCAGTCCTGCAAAAGTATCGTGAGAACTTGAGTCCCATTATCGGGGGCAGAGTCTCCCATAATGTAAAAGAACAAGGTAGCTTTTGCCTACCAGAGTGTTATATCGGAGGCAGTGACCTCCATGTTGCACTAAGGGTGTCTAATTATCGGGGACAGTGTTTCCCATAATTTTATCTAAATGCTCGTCATGCAAGGATACCTGCAGAGCATGATCGTTAGTATCTAACATGAATTATTTGAACTGCTACAATTGTCTTTCTGTCTCTGATGTCCCTTTGCGCTGGCTGCAAGAACCTGTTGGGCGGCCCTTGCCGTAAGATGATAGCTGACCCTGGCTTCGCTGGGTTGACATCCAGAGGTAAGCCAGGTTTGTAAAGAGGCTCTGCTCACCCAATAAGCGGCAGACGTCCACAGCTCAGTTGCTCTCGCTTAGCCCCTCTTCACCCAAAGGAAGCAGAATGGCCACGTCTCCTCCCTCGACCGGGAATTCTGATTTGTTCTCCAAACAACTCGAGTTAGGCAGAAGCGATTCCAGAGGACGCTGAAATCTCTTCTGGCTTTGCCACAAGTGCAGAAAGGGCGATTGTGCGTTCCTGAGGACATGGAGACCAGTGGGCTTTCTCTGAATCTTAGTAAATGCCCTTTTTTTCTTTCTGTTTTGAAAAGATTCTGATGACTTCAGGAAATGGAGTGGGTGAATGTATGTGCAAGAATTGCTTATGATTAGAGAAATATTCTGGGTAAGTCAGAAACATGCCAGCAAGAACCCAGAAAGGCAATTCAAGGCAGTTACAGGTGCCCTACTTTTTCCATGTCTCTGGCCTAAACATTCGGTCCAAAGAACTGTAGAAACCACTTCCTTTTAAAGTGCCCTTGAACTGAAATTACTTACCCTGGCTTTCCACAATGCATAGCTGTTTTCTTCTGTTTGCATGGAAGGCAAAGCTGTAGAGATTTCCAGGTATGGATGCTTAATATGTTGGTGGAATCTTGGTGAGCTGGAAAGATCACAACGCCCAACTTCAGGCTCTCTCTTTGTATCAGTAATTCAGTTTAAATCAAATGCTGTTACATTTCAGACCTGTTATTTGAGTGGAATGTGTTTTCTTAGTAAACCCCATGCGAGGTTTTCTCCTCTGTATTTCATAAGGTACGTGAATGGTGTGTCTGGTGTGTGTTGTTTCCATAGCACTGCATGCATCCTGAGTGTGTAAAAAATTAGATGTAGTTGTGAAATACATGGGCTGCATCCACATCCAAAGCCACGTGTCTGTGAAGTGTCTCTGTTCATCCTGATGAGCTACAACTTCCTCTAGAATTGGAGATCACCATCTTGATGCAATCACTGTTTGAAAACTGCAAAACCTGACTGTCCTTGATTAAAAAAAAAAAAAAACACCCAAAAGACGGCTGCTTTGGAAATGTGATTATTATGGGATGTTTACTGTGGGGTGGCAGGGGGGCCAGCTGGTTGGTTTGATGATGGGGTGGATATTTGAAACAGTGCTTTTCATTCCCAGAAGTGGATGTACTTGTGGGCGCCCTTGCTGGACCATCGAAGCCCATGGTGAAAGGGACGCGTGGGTGGATGATGCGGTGAGAGGAGAGTGGTGGGAGGGAGGGTCTCTCAAAGCCTTGAAGGGGTCTGGGGTACTGGCCAGAACTCCAGATTATTCCATCCAATGGTTTGCCTTCAGGGGGAAGCACAGGCCAGGCCTTCTGTGAATCCAAGGCCTCGGTGTCCAGCCAAATTGTCCGTGAGCCTGACGCAGCTTCAGTCCCTCTGCTGCTGCTCTGTCCCTCTGATGAGAACCTCTGGCTCTTCCAAGGGCATTTGGCTGGGCTCATACAAGAACAGCTCTGCTGAGTCAGGCCAGAGCGCATCGTAGCCCAGCATTTTGCTTTGTAACAGTGGCCGAAGAGGGCCTCTCGGGGCTTTGCAAGCCCAATGCGCCCTTGCTCAGTCTTTGGGTCAGACAGCCCTCAATGAACTTGCCATCCATCAATTTATCCAGCCCCCTTTTAATGCTTCGTCCTAAGCGCATTTATTACATGGCATGTGTTTCCAAGCGGGCGAGATGCAGGCAATGGGATGCTGGCTTGCAAATCGGTCCCTAGACTGGAGAGACTCGCTTTCGTAGAATGCGTGAGGTAAGAACAGCTTTTGATCGTGCTTGTGGCCTGCTGTCCGAAATGTTCCAAACAATAATTAAAGTGACCTAATCTGTATCTTGTACCTGCGAAAAGTGTTACGTGAACACTTCTGTTGATTATAGCCACAACAGTCAGTGGAGGTCAGCGTGGGTCCATCTGGTGGCCACCAAAGGTGGAAGATTGTAACTTCAAATGTAAGAGCAATAAGTGGTAATGGGCAAGCATTAACAAATGAGATGAAAGTTATGCATCTATAAAATTAAGACAAAGGGGAAGAATGTAATGGAGATTAATGGAAGTGGTCTGTTGTGGAGTTGATGAAGGGGTAGGTTTCTCCATATAAGCCCTAAAGTGTATGAAGTGTCACCTAAATTGCTCTGTGCACAAAAGTAGAAACCCATAGACTGGTGATGGTTGCATGTTAAGCTCCAGTAAATAGTAATAGAAGAACCAGACAGGAGTTTTGGGAAATGCTGTGCACCATTCTGAACTGATGCAAAAATTAATTTGCTAGGTAACATGAATGGATAGAGGGGAACAAAACGAGCCATTTGGAGGTCAAGAGTGAATGAGAATGAATGGTGAGTTATGGTGGTGCTTAAAGTTTGTGAGCCCTTCTGGATTTTCAATATTTCTGCATAAATATGACCTGAAACAAGACCTGTTCTCCACCCAAGTCCTAAAACTAGATAGAGAACCCAGTTAAATGAGTCAAAATCATTGGAGAACGTGTTTTAGGTCATTTATGCAGAAAAACTGAAAATTCAAAAAGGTTCACAAACTTTAAAGCACCACTGTATGTGCTTAGGAAAAACTCTCTTTTGAATATGTGGTTTATTCACGCCTACCTAGGGCAAAGGAATGATTACAAATCTAAAAGCGTGATTGATTTAATTGTTTATAATGAAAGATAAGAGTAGTGAAGGATATAAGGATAGTGAGGTTCCGAGTGTGGGATGGGGCTGTTCCTTGATGGTGTCAGGTGTGGACGTTAGGGAAGGTGAGCATGGAAAGAAGGACTAGAGTGAAATAGGCAGTAATTGCATGAAGAGAAAACACAAGTCCTTCATGCAGAAGGGTTAGAATATAGAACTGAATGGAAAGAATTGCCACAGAAGCATATGGAGTTGTGCTAGTGGGAGGTATGAAAAATGATGCTTGCTGGAATGGCATGAAAGAGGCTGGATTAGGCATAAACATGAATGCTGCAAAAATGAGGATGAAAGTTGTGTATATATAGATCTGATTAGGCATATGGCCAATATCTGCAGTGTGGTGAGACCCCTTAAACACATAAGAAATGTGTTCGATTTTCTAATGAATTCCAACTCAAATTGTCACTTTATTGTCAGCAAGACTGTTGTGAGAAGTGGAAATAATTCCTCAGACTTCATCTGATGAAAGGGATTAGATTCACAAAGCCTTGAGTGGTAAGAACTGTAATCTTTAAAAGTCTTCCCAGACTTCTTTACGCGAAGAACAATTTAACACAGCTACCCTTCCAAAAATTGTTAAAAGAAGAATTAAGTTGCCAGGTGTATATCTAATCCACCGGTGATTTTGGCACCAAGGAACCAATTAAGCCAGTGTTTTCACAATCTAGTTACGGAATTGACCTATTTGCTAGGTTCACACAATTCGCTGGACTGTAAATTAAAAATACAAGCAATACACATTTTATCATAAAAGTTTGCCCAATATGCCAAGATAAAGCATGCACACCCACACAAACGCTTAACCTCGGTTAGTGTTGATGCACAAAAGCATTTGCTGGATTTTGGTCCATCCTGTTTACTCACATCTGAACAAAGCCCGTGTGTGTGACGCCCCTGATTCCAGAATATGACACACACACCCCAGTCTTCCTGGCGTAGTGGGCCTGGGGCTCCTCACCCCACTGCCCCGTCCTGGCTGCCCCAGCAGCAGGCAGCTGGTTTGGTGTAAAATGAGCACTTGGCTTTCCACGCTGCTGGGGAAATGCACCCCTGCTTTCCTTTGAACACGGGGCCATGTCTGCCAGCTGAGTGGTTTAAGGCGACATGGGCACCAAGCAGAGCATCTGGCAGGCCTGTCTTTCTACGACGTCATGGGAAGGCCGAGCAAACGGGCTTGGTCTTGCACTGAGGGGAGATGACAAGATAGGTCTGTTCAAAACCCGGTGGTTTCTGAGGATCTGCACCTTCGCCCTCGAGATGCCCCTCCTGGCCAGCAGCACATCGGCTTCCCATCACGGCAGCATCTGCCTCTCAGGCGAGATGCTGGGAACACTGTGCTGTAGGGGAAGCAGGGAGCCTGTTGGTGTCTCGTACAAGAAGAGCAGCACAGGCTGCACGTACCAGCCGAGCTCCAACTTCACGGCTGCTGAACAGATGGCACAGTCCAGTCTGACCTTCGTTCAAGAGAGCCCCTCCTGGTTGGTTTAAGGATGCTCTATGGGGAGGGCTGCCAATCTGGGCAGCCTTGCATAGCATCAGGGGGTTAGGACTTATGCCCCCCCAGCTGCCATCTAGTGATTGCCCGGAATTTGGCACCCCCATAACAAGCTTAGCTGTGGGATGTTAATGTCACCTAGGCTGGCATTTGCATTGATGACGCTGGCAAGCTGAATCAGACTGGGAGGTGAATCCCACGGGATTTATCAAGAATGACGATCTCCAGGGTTCTTCTGGAGAATTCACCTGGAAGATGGGTTAATCAGAAAAGTGAGTTTGGTGTTGAGAACCCCCCACTTCAGTATCAGCCCTTCCCCAAAAGAGTGATGGGAGTTGTAGGGCAATCCATCTGTGCCCCTGGAGAAGACTAGCTCAAAGGACATAGGGGCCTCCAGAAAGAAATGGACATCTCTGTGGTTAAAAGCTGATATGCCTTCGCACAACTGGCATGAACTGACAAGGGGGATTTGAGCCAGAACCTCATCGTTCCTGCCCCAAGGTTCACATAACACATTTAATCTGATTCCTGAATTAATCCATTTCCCGGATGTCCACCATACATTGAACCAAAGGGACCGAATTCCCACGGTGCGCTAAGCTACAGAAAACTGAACGAACTCTAATGAAAACCAACATCTGTTGTGGACATGTGGCTGCTAGGTCTCTAACAGACACCCGTGAGCATGCTGTATTGTATGAATGCAGGCAGTCGGACCACAGGGCTCAGTTCAGACACCCTTTGACCTGCAGGTGGCACCAGAGATCTGTCCTGACATCCCTTTAAGTATTGTAAACACCCTTCTAACTGCAGTGTCATTTTGTGGCTTTCTTTTAATCGGTGAAAACAAATGCCAAGTGGAATTTTGATAACAGTCCTGCTTATCACACAATGATCCTTTCTTTCTTTTTTAATAACTTAACCCAGTTTATCAGCAGGGAATTTTGACTGCATCCTCTTCATAGCACAGGGCTACCGTGCTAGAGCCAGACTGCCTGCAACATCTCAGCTGCTTCTCTGGTTCTAGCACAGCATCTTGTCCTTGTTTGCAACTGTGCCCATCAGCCTCCTTACTTATTTCTTTATTTAGAAGATTCGCATGGCTGCCCATCTTAAAGCACAACTTTAATTGGCCTGGTGTTTCACGAAAGAGACCCGAAGTGTGCTTTTAAGCACGTGCAAAGAGTTTTTATCAGCCTCTCTCATAAGGATGGCACCAGCTTAGCTCATCTGGGGTAGGATTAAAGCTAGTTAGGATTGGGATGGGAGACCACTAGGAAATTCCATGGCTATAGGCTAGGCTGAGAAGTTGAAAAAACATCACAGAAGAAAACCCCAGAATTTTAATTTTTACTTATAAACCCAGGCAGAAGAGTTGAATGCTGAGACAGGGCATTGTTTAAGAGTGGTTGTTAACAGCACACCAAAGAATTAGAAAACACAGATAAGGGAAAATTGGACACTGTGATGTGCAATTGATTATGTACCATTAAGTTGGTGCCAGCTTTTAGTGACACGCAGACATCCAGATGATTTGTCCCCATGCTGGTCCTTCGAGGTCTTCCAATGGTGCCCCCATCGCTGCTGTAACTGAGTCCCTCCCCTTTGCTGCTGGTCGTCCTCTTCTCCTTCCTTCCACCCTTCCCAGCATCAGAGCCTTCTCCAGAGAGCTGGGTCTTAGCTTAATGTGTCCAGAGGAGGATCATTTGAGCCTGGCCATTTGTGCCCTGAGTGAGAACTCTGGGCTGATTTGTCTGATGACCCATCGGTTTGTTTTCTTGGGTGTCCATGATCTTCTCCAACCCCAGAGTTCAAAAGCGT